AGCTAAAAAAAATATTCGATAGCCCCTGCTTAGCTGTCCTGAGGAAGGAACGGGTTCCTGAGGCAGACAGCAAAAGTGGAAGCCAGTGCAGGATGGCAGAATGTCCTGGGCAGGAGCCAGCTGCGGTGCAGCACTGATCTGTGGGAAGTGTGAGCACCCCTCGGAACCCCCAAGCCACCCAGTGGGGACTGGTGCGTGGACTTCCTAGGGGCAGCCATACGCAATACAGGGCAGACTATTGTCAAATGGGCTTTAAAGGAAAAGCTGGAAGCGCTGACCTTCCCACACTGGCCCCCACAGACCCTGGGTTACTCCCTGCCCCCCACCCACCTACTTAAAACTGGGCACTCCCCTGCCATAGGCTACCCTGAGGGGCTTCACTAGTTTTTGTCGTTTTTTTGTTTTTTTTTTAAGGTAAGATTTACTTTGAATTATTTATGCATGCAAGAGCTGGGGTGTAGGCCATGGTGGGGGGCGGTGAGAGGATTCACCAGAGACAGAGCGGGGGCAAGAACAGGCGGATCACTGAAATCCACTGCTGAGGGGAGCAGCGGGGAGACAGGCGAGGTCCCCTGCGCCTTCAGTCCTGGCTTGGGATCGAACTTGTGCTGCAGGGGCTGGTGGTAGCTTCACAGCGCCGAGACTTAACCCCTGCGCCACCAGCCCCCTCCTTCTCAGGGCCGAGCGTTTCCTGTCCGTGAAGACCCGCCTGCCCGTCTCCCCACCTGCTCCAGCCGCGGCCCTGCTCTCGGGTCCTCACACAGGCCTCGCGCCTCGGCGGCTCCCGGGCCCTCGCACTGTCTCCTGCTGCCCCGCCCTGGGCAAAGCTGCCCCTCGCAGACGCCGGGTCTCGCGTCAGGGTCTTTCCCCAGCAGCCCTCCGAGGACCACCCGGCCGGGAGGAGACCCCAGACCCCTCCCGTCTGACCACCCGTTCGCTCGCGCGGCCGCGGCCGGAAGCTGTCGCGAGCGCGGGGGAGCGCGGGGGGGGGGAGCGCGGGCTCGCCTGGAGGGGCTCCCCAGGGCGAGGAAGAGCTCGCGGCCCGGGGGCCCGGGGAGAAGGCGCTGGGGATCGCCGAAGGGGGCCTGACGTCGGGGCGGCTTTCAGTTGCTCAGGAAGAGGAGCCGCCGGGGGGAGGGGGACGCGCGGGAGCGGAGGGCGGGAAGCGGCTCCGGGCCGGGAAGCGCGGGAAGCGTTTCCAGGAGTGGGGCCTGAGGAGAGCCGGCAGCGGAGGGCCCGCGCCGACGAGCAGCTACACAGGCGTTACGTGAGAGTCCTGCTGGGTGGAACGGAGAGGACTGCAAGGATGGAAGAAAAGGGACAGTAAATACGTTGTTGTAACTGAAGAGAAAGGGGAAAGCTCAACCTGCCAGCCGCGAGCGCCAGGGGGCGCCGCCGGCGGCGTGACTAGGCCGGAGTCCGTCCCCGTCGCTCCCTCTCCTGGCAGAGGCAAGCGCTGCACGCTAAGATGGCTGACCCCGGTGAAAAGCACTTGCCAGCCTCCAAACAACATTCCTCGGTGAGGGCCGCGTTTACAGGGCGGTGAGGGTTTTAAAGGACAACTGCTTCATATAAATGAAAACCAAGTGTTTTCCTTGTTTATTCAAACCTCGCACAACCACATCTCTGCAACCTTCCAAAGTATTCATTCAAGTGTAAAACCAGACTTTGGGGTGCTTTAAGATTTCAGTCATGCAACGCAACTGAAGAAGTCTAGCACCCGTCCTTTGACAAGACTGAGGACCCCTTTGCAAGTTCGAGGCCGGGGCAGAGATGGGGTGGGGGGAGGGGGACTCGAAACAGCTGCCACCTGCATGCCCTGAGCCGGCTCTGCCAGGTTTGCTTGGGCCCTGATAAGTGGTGTTGAAAGAACAACCAGTTCTGAGAGAAAAAACTTCTTTGAAAACAACTTAGACTCAGCATTCTCCACCTGCCTCCAAGGCCAGACCCTGCCCTATAAAAACTTGCCCTCATCCCCCAACGGGTGCTACTTCTCCTACCCCTGTGGGGGTCGGTGCACTTTGCCCAGGAGCCCAATAAATGTCTTGCCTGTGAGAAACTTAGCCTGGGTTTCCTTTTCTTGACCGCCAGATCCTTTCAGCCTTGATGGTAGAAACGCTTCTCATTCACTGCTGATTCACTTTAGTTTCCCCTGTTTATATTTGCCGGGAGTTCATTAGGGACTGTGTTGCCCTCACGATTTCTTCTTGAGAAAATCACACAAAGGCTTTTTCCTTTATGCAAAGTGAAAGGATATTAGAACTGTCAACTATTAAAATATATATGAAATGGAAAAGGAAGGTGCAGGACAGATGTGCAGACCATTATGTTACCTTCTGTGTGAGGAGGAATTAAGATATATTAATAGTTGCTTACACCTGCACAGAGAAACTCTGAAAATACATGGGGGGAGGTGAACTGGGGAGGTGGGAGAGAAGACTTATCTTAATTTGTTTTAAATATCTGAAACACATGAAAGTTTTACCTACTTAAAAAGGTACAAAATAGGGCCTGCCCTGGTGGCACAGGTGGTTGAGCGCTGCGCTGTGAAGTTGTCCGCAGCCTCTGCAGCGCAGGTTCAATCCCGGCCAGCCAGGGAGGGTGCCACATGGCACCGCAGACCTCTCCTGTCTCTCCTGCTGCTCCCCTCAGCAGTGTAAAAGAAAAAAAAAAAGTTACAAAATAGAAAACTATCATGAGACAATAATCAAATTATAAAAACAAGTTCTGCCCTGATGCTTTGAATAATCCCCAAGAACCTTATTAAATAGGAATTTTGTTTATGGTATCCTTCCAGAATATTGGGAAACAAAAAAAAAGTATGTACTTCACAGCAACATTATAGTAACAAAAACCTGGAAACAAATGTTGGTGGGGGTAAAATAAATGCTAAAGCAACAATACAAAGATGCAAAGATAAAATCACCTACCTTGAGAAATACTGTCACAAATGCCCGCTTGTGTCCATGAGCGCCTAGGGACCTACCCAGGCACTATAATCACAGAGGTAAATCCTCGAATAGCAAACTTTCATCACCAGGAAGTGAAAATGGGTAATTGAGAATTTAGGTGTATTTTCTCTAGCTTTATAATAGACACCAGGTGTATGTATTTATGTATATGCTTCGATTGGAAACAGAGACAAGTATATATTCCCAACTCAATTTTCCCAGTGGTTAAGAGTATATAGTTTAACAAGCATTGATGTTAACGCTTCCAATTTTTCTAGTATTTACACCAGTATTTAGTAAATTCTTTCATTGAATTCGACAGGAAACACTTTAATTCAAAGAGCCAAGGGCTCTTCAGTGAGTTCTCAGTTAAGCAACCCATTCCCCTCTCCCCACCCTGCCAGAGCCGTTAGAGCACCGATGTTAATGCTCCAGCACACTTGGGGTCTCCTCTTGCTCTAAGGGACCAAGACTGCGCCCCCGAGTTGATGCAGCCTTGTGTCTTCAATTATTAGCCCCAGGACATTTCGTACTTACTTAGCCACGGACACAGCACTTCAGGAACCGTGCCTGCCTTGCCTTCAGTGGTTAATTTGAAGATGCTATGGACGCTTAGTTCTGCACAATACCTTCTGATTCTCATGGAGCACCAGGACTACGCGATAGCCAGCATCATGATAGGTAGCAGTTACAGGCGCTAGTGCTTGAGACTGGGCTGGGTGGTGAGCCAAGAACACCCACTAACTTTACTTAGGATCCCTAAAGCTAGAACTTATCTTAAACCTACTGACATGGCTACTTTACAACCAGAAGGGTTAGTCTTTCCGGGACCTGAGGTTACATAGATGGTCTAAAACCAGCTGAGTGTAGTAAAAGGAGTGGTGCTTTCAAGAACACACCTCCGAGATTCTTTGAAGAGCCTCTGGACGACTTGCATGGTGCCCACCAGCCAGTGCCAGTTCTTTATCAAAAGCAGCTCCCCTTAACTTAATGAATCCCTTGCCATTAGCATCTGACTGGCTAAAATGGCTAACTTCAAGTTTACACAAGCGAAGACTGGGGACCAACTGTTACACCCACCACCACCACCACCACCACCAAGTAGTATACAAACCTTTCATCTGCTGTCCCATGAAGCCCAGGGATCATGTTGAAATTTTATTTGAAGAATAAAAGTGGGGAGGGAACACAACTAACTCCTGTTGAGGACAGTGGCTGTCTTGGTGGTGGGTGCCAACACTTGAGGGGGAAGAGCCTGTATCTCTAAATCACAGCATTGTAAACCAATGCTACATTTTTAAACAGAATATTTCAGGGCCTCCCTGGTGGCCCAAGGGGTTAAGTCACAGCACTACGAAGTTATCAGTAACCGCTGCAGTTTGATCCCAGCCAGGGAGCTACCCACATGGCACAACAGACCTGTTTCCCTGCTGCTCCCCTCAGTAGTGTATTTCAATCCGCCTGTTCAGCAACCCAGCCTGTCTCTGGCGAATCCTCTCAACCCCCATATCTCTGGCCTGTACCCCAGCTCGTCTATGCATAAATAATTCTTCTTAAAAAAACTTCAGTGGTGACATTTCAATGAGTAGTTTTCACTCTGTAATTAGTTCCAAGAATTTTTCAGCAGAAATCCCAACAGGTATTATTTCCCTCACTGTATACTACCAGCCACATCTTTTTTCAAAAATCTAGTTTACTAACTTTTGGAGCAGCTCTACGTGAATTAAATTATGTATGAAAGCAGATTCCCCTCCCATTCCCCACTAATACGCCTGTTCTACTGAGAATCCAGAAACTTTCCCATTCTAAGGCATCTCATACAACCCAAACTTAGTAGCTAAAAGGTAAAACTATCAGTGCACACAGGGAGGATAGTTTCCTCCAGTTAGCCTTTTTATCTGCACCCACCCACTAGTTCTCTATTAGGTAACTTTTTATTCGTATTTCTTACACCTCATGGCTACCATCACAGAATCAAGTCACTGACTTAACCGTGATCACGCCACCACACCTCAACTGAAAAGAACATTAAAAACAAAACAAAAAAAACCCAACACTTTTGGAATGCAACAACTTTATTGAAAGAAAAGTGCAATGAAATCTTTTGAAAGCTTAAAAGGGAGGTATATTTAATAAAACTCCCTTCAAGTGCAGGACAAAATGAAGAGTGGACTCCTGGATGTTGCACTAAGACAGGATGCACCCAATCTTCCAACTGCTTCCCAGCAAAGATCAACCTCTGGTGGTCAAAGAGAATACCTCATCTTGGAACTTGGACTTGACGTTCTCGATGGTGTCACTGGGCTCCACCTCAAGGGTGATGGTCTTACCAGTCAGGGTCTTCACAAAGATCTGCATCCCACCCCGGAGGCGGAGGACCAGGTGCAGGGTGGACTCCTTCTGGATGTTGTAGTCAGACAGGGTGCGCCCATCTTCCAGCTGCTTCCCGGCAAAGATCAGCCTCTGCTGGTCAGGGGGGATGCCCTCCTTGTCCTGGATCTTAGCCTTGACGTTCTCGATGGTGTCACTGGGCTCCACCTCAAGGGTGATGGTCTTACCGGTCAGGGTCTTCACAAAGATCTGCATCCCACCCCGGAGGCGGAGGACCAGGTGCAGGGTGGACTCCTTCTGGATGTTGTAGTCAGACAGGGTGCGCCCGTCTTCCAGCTGCTTCCCAGCAAAGATCAGCCTCTGCTGGTCAGGGGGGATGCCCTCTTTGTCCTGGATCTTGGCCTTGACGTTCTCGATGGTGTCACTGGGCTCCACCTCAAGGGTGATGGTCTTACCGGTCAGGGTCTTCACAAAGATCTGCATCCCACCCCGGAGGCGGAGGACCAGGTGCAGGGTGGACTCCTTCTGGATGTTGTAGTCAGACAGGGTGCGCCCGTCTTCCAGCTGCTTCCCGGCAAAGATCAGCCTCTGCTGGTCAGGGGGGATGCCCTCCTTGTCCTGGATCTTGGCCTTGACGTTCTCGATGGTGTCACTGGGCTCCACCTCAAGGGTGATGGTCTTACCGGTCAGGGTCTTCACAAAGATCTGCATCCCACCCCGGAGGCGGAGGACCAGGTGCAGGGTGGACTCCTTCTGGATGTTGTAGTCAGACAGGGTGCGCCCGTCTTCCAGCTGCTTCCCCGCAAAGATCAGCCTCTGCTGGTCAGGGGGGATGCCCTCCTTGTCCTGGATCTTGGCCTTGACGTTCTCGATGGTGTCACTGGGCTCCACCTCAAGGGTGATGGTCTTACCAGTCAGGGTCTTCACAAAAATCTGCATCCCACCCCGGAGGCGAAGGACCAGGTGCAGGGTGGACTCCTTCTGGATGTTGTAGTCAGACAGGGTGCGCCCATCTTCCAGCTGCTTCCCGGCGAAGATCAGCCTCTGCTGGTCAGGGGGGATGCCTTCTTTGTCCTGGATCTTGGCCTTGACGTTCTCGATGGTGTCACTGGGCTCCACCTCAAGGGTGATGGTCTTACCGGTCAGGGTCTTCACAAAGATCTGCATCCCACCCCGGAGGCGGAGGACCAGGTGCAGGGTGGACTCCTTCTGGATGTTGTAGTCAGACAGGGTGCGCCCATCTTCCAGCTGCTTCCCGGCGAAGATCAGCCTCTGCTGGTCAGGGGGGATGCCCTCTTTGTCCTGGATCTTGGCCTTGACGTTCTCGATGGTGTCACTGGGCTCCACCTCAAGGGTGATGGTCTTACCGGTCAGGGTCTTCACAAAGATCTGCATCCCACCCCGGAGGCGGAGGACCAGGTGCAGGGTGGACTCCTTCTGGATGTTGTAGTCAGACAGGGTGCGCCCATCTTCCAGCTGCTTCCCGGCGAAGATCAGCCTCTGCTGGTCAGGGGGGATGCCTTCTTTGTCCTGGATCTTGGCCTTGACGTTCTCGATGGTGTCACTGGGCTCCACCTCAAGGGTGATGGTCTTACCGGTCAGGGTCTTCACAAAGATCTGCATCCCACCCCGGAGGCGGAGGACCAGGTGCAGGGTGGACTCCTTCTGGATGTTGTAGTCAGACAGGGTGCGCCCATCTTCCAGCTGCTTCCCGGCAAAGATCAGCCTCTGCTGGTCAGGGGGGATGCCTTCTTTGTCCTGGATCTTGGCCTTGACGTTCTCGATGGTGTCACTGGGCTCCACCTCAAGGGTGATGGTCTTACCGGTCAGGGTCTTCACAAAGATCTGCATCCCACCCCGGAGGCGGAGGACCAGGTGCAGGGTGGACTCCTTCTGGATGTTGTAGTCAGACAGGGTGCGCCCGTCTTCCAGCTGCTTCCCGGCGAAGATCAGCCTCTGCTGGTCAGGGGGGATGCCCTCCTTGTCCTGGATCTTGGCCTTGACATTCTCGATGGTGTCACTGGGCTCCACCTCAAGGGTGATGGTCTTACCGGTCAGGGTCTTCACAAAGATCTGCATGGTCTATTAGAACAAAAGACCGAAACAAACAAATCCCGGTTTAGCAGGCGATTCACTTCTTAGTGCTCCAGCGATCAGCCATATTCTACTGGCCAAGTAACTTAAAAAAACAACTTGCCTACACCACCTCAGGAACCGAAACACTTCAGTTCAAAACTCGAAACTCAGCCACTTACTAGGCAAAGCAGAAAACCTAAACAAGTAAATTCGGGGAGCCTAGCTCACTCTCCCCCGTGGATGTCCGGCCCCCGGCAATTCAGCAGGGTCTACTTCAGGCCCAAACCCTGTGTCCTGCGACTGTCACCTACTGCACACGCCGGCAGGTGGCCCCACCCCAGATGATGAACCAACAGAGAGCTGACGTCACACGAGTGCGGCGGTGCGCAGGCCCCCCCCCTCCCCGAAGGGGTGCGGGGCCGCGGAGCACCCCCTCCCCCGAAAACGGAAAGCAGGTCCTCAAGCCGGCCAAGCCCCAAAACCCACACCGAGCGTCAGTCCCCCAAGCCGCGCGGCCGCAGACGTATGCGCTCCTGCGTCCAGGTTCAAGGCTCTTTAGCGTCACCTTCCACACACCGGCCGCCCTCACAAGCACCTTCCTGCCGCCGCGTCTTCCCCGGCGGGAACGGAAATGGCCGCCATTTTGCTGCGTTCCCCTTTCCGGGCCTGGCTCGCGGGCGGCGGGCGACGCAGCGCCTCGGTGCCTCTCCGCCCAGGCGGGCAGCTGCCCCCCGCGAGCACAACCCCAGCCCCGCAGCGCAGCGAGTTCTCCTTACCAAGCGGCGGGGTCAGCAGCGCGCGCAGAACTGCCACAACTCAGCTCTGGAACCCGACGGCACTCGCCGCGCCGCGCCCGGCGCTCCCTTATGTAGGAATCGGGCGTGCCGCGCCAAGGGATCCCTCCGCAGAAACGCCGAGAAGGGACTACTTTTCTCCGCCCTTCCTCACCGCTAAATAAAAAAACCGTCACCAAGAACCATCATATTCCCTCACAAAATGACCTGCAGTTACGACCGGGGCTTCGGGGCGACGTCGGGTGGGGAGTGGGTCGCGACTCGGGGAGGCACGGCGGAAGGATCAGCACGTTAGGGAGCACTGCGTCCGCGGACGTGGCCGGCGCTCGACGGGGGCGGGGGCGCCCGCGGGCGGCGCTAAAACCCGGCGCGGAACCGCCCGGGCGCCCGGGTGGGCCCAGTCCCGCGCCCCGCCCCGCCGCCCCCGGCTCTCGGCCGTCAGGGGCCCGGCGAGTCTCCGGACGCCGGTGCGGAGTGGGCCCCGGCCGCGCCGCCCGCAGAGTCGGGGTCCCGCTCCCCTCGCGGGCACCCCCGACCCTCCCCCGGCCGCGGCCGGCCCCTCCCCGCGGGCGCCGGGACAAGGCCGGTGACTCGGCAAATCTCTGCCGGGCCGGGCCGGGCGGGGCCGGGGCGCCGCCCCCGGGGCCCGCGGGGCCTCCAGGAGTGTCCCGGCCGGACGCGGCCGCCGGGGCTTGTCGGCTGCCTGGGCAGTTGAGCCAGGGGTGTTCAGGGGCGACCCGGCCTCGGTCTGTGGACGCCGGCGAACGGCCCGGAGCCCGCAGGACCCGCCGCTTCCTCCCGGCCAGACTGCTCTGCTTGGGCAAGCCCGCTTTGTGATCGCAATGTGCCATTTCCCCCGCGTACTTTTTATGTGTTTTTAAGTCTGTGAACGTGGTGAAAATGTAAAACAGGGTTTTCAAGCTTTACGGTGAAAATCTCCCTCAACCACAGGCCCAAGATGGCGTCAGTTGTGCTAAACACAGGGCAGGCGCCGAGCCTTCGCACCTGAGCTGCTGCCTTTCAGCCTTGCCCAGGGAGACCCTCTGAAGGGTCAGCCTGGAATCTCCTGGTCAGAGCCAGGGAGGGAATTGGTCAGTAGAAGGGAGGTAATCTGCCTAATAGACTGTTTCCCCCTCAAAATAGGTGACTTTGCTCAAAACGATTTCTTTTTTCACTTCAAACTCTTGTCCCTGCCCGGCTACCTTATAAAATCTTCCCTTTTCTGTAGCTTTCTGGAGGGCCTTTCTATTTGCTAATGGAATGCTGGCAGGTTCATGAATTGAAGTGAATTTGACCTTCAAATGTTCTCAGTTGAATTTTCCTGTTTTTTTGACACCACCCTTAAAGTCTTAAAAAAAATAGGAAAAGAGGCAACTGATTAAAAATATTTTGCCATTAAGGAAAGACTATGTTCCTCCCTTAAATTATGAGCATTTTTAAAATCTGAATATTTTGCTTAAAGTGTGACTCAAAACAAAGCTGCTGTATACTTACTTTGGTTGCCTTTGTATGGATTTATGAAAAAAGTCTCGGCAAGGTTCAAATGAGACTAACCTCTGATTTTTAACATTCTCCAAAGGGCATGAATTCATTACTGAGACAGTAAAATGAATAATATAAAAAAGTTACAGGTTAGCAGGAGACCCCAGCGACTCCCTAGCACAGATATCTGTGAAGGTTATTTATCTCTAAATTTATGGATATGTTATAGATAGAGATTTTTAAAGGAACAAAAAAGGAAGGCTCTTTATAAGATTATTTTTTCCTAAGTTTCAGGAAGAGGCGTTGAGAGGAACAAAAAGCTGGGCTCCTCCTTAGGTGACCAGGCCTGTTTGCTTTGCTGCTAGTCTTGTGATTCCTGATGCTCAAAGGCTGAGTCATGAGCTTGGTGACCTAGCTTTTTCATAGTCCAAAGGTAAAGTGAAAAACAGGCCCAATTTCAGAGGCAGGAGGGGGTGGGAAATGTGCCAATGGTTATTGCTGAAGAGAAAACACATTCTTAGGAGCTGGGAGGACTCTGCGGTGTGTCTCCAATTAAATTATTTTCTCTGAAACACCCCTGCAGTCCCTCGTTGAAGTCCAACTGTGGATTTTTGTTGAAGCAAGCAGAAGTAAACATTTGTCCAAGGGCACTGAGTGAGAGAGGGGAGGAGAAAGTGACCTCCCCAGAGAGGGGTTGTCTTCTGGAACAGTGGTTGCCAACCAGAAGTGATTTCTTCCCCAGTAGACATCTCTGGAGACTTTTTTGGTTATCACAACTGCAGCTGGAGGGGGAGGGGTACCACAGGCATCTGGTGGTGGAGACCCGGCAATGCATAGTCCTCCACAGCGCAGAATTACCCAGCCCTATGTGTTAATAATGCCAAACTTGCAAACCCCCACTCCACAGTATTTGTGTTGTTGTTCCAACTGCTTTCCTCTTTGCTGAGAGGAATCCCCAAGTCTAGATGTCCCCCTTGGATTCAGGAATAGGTTCCAGACCACGGCACTGAAGCCTACAACCCCCTGACCTAGAATACAATGTGCTAGAAAGTGCTAGAAAAAGCAGGTTGAGTCATTGAATCCATGTTCAGTTTCTTCCACCCACAGATCCGCCCTTTGCAGGCACCCCAGAAGAGATTACTTCAGAGCTGGCACCAATGGAGAAGTGACAGAGGCCCAGCAACACTGCGGGATTGGTGGGCAGAGGGCACGTGATGGGCTGAGCTCACAAAGGCCTGGGTGCTGGGCTGCTGGGGGTGGAGTTGGGCTGGCGCCTGTGTGTCCGCCTGCCTTTCTCCCTTCCCCAGAGGACAGTCCCCCTGAAGGTCACAGCCTTGGTTGAGACTGATGAGAATGCCCGGAATACAGGAATCAGCAAACATTTCCCCCCTAGAGAAGGGTCACATCAGAAAGCTGGATGGAAAGCACGTCTTGCTTTGCCATCTGTTACAGAACCTTAAAAGGTAGTGGAAAGTGTCTGCAGTGTAGGGGGAAAACAAAAAAAAAAAGCCCAAGGGATTCTGTTCCTTTTCCTGTTTATACTTGTGCCTTTACATTGTGATCAGAACGTTGAGTGCTCCAGCTTAAAATAACGCTGGCATCCCCCACCAGTCAGAAAATCAGATACAAATCCTAGTCCCCCAGACTGCCTTGTTAGGGACCTTGCCAAGTTCATTGACCCATTGGGGCTTTATGTTTTCTAAATTTGCTGTTTTTAAGTTGTGGCAAAATACGCAGACTGTGACATCTACCATCATCGCCATTTTTAAGTGTACAGTCCAGCAGTGGTGATATGTTATGGGGGAGGAATCATTCCCTACCCTTCTGACTTCTCCACTGAGGCCCCTGTATGAAAGGCAGACTAACAAGAGAAAGAAACAGGAGTTGGTTAACACGCCTGCCTCATGTGTCGGTGGGAGATACCCAGGGAGACCTGGGTCATTCAGACGGTGACTTAGGCATTTATGCTGGCATTGGGAAGGGAGCAGGGGATGGAAGCCTGGTAGGGAAGAATAAATGAGTCTGGGACCGATGGACAGCACTAGAAGAACAGATGTGAGGGGTGGTCATTTGAGACAATGTTTGGTGTCCTCGGCAACTCTCCCATGACAAGAGTCAATCTTCCCTGGTCACGAAACTCCCAGGAGGACCACTGAGCCACTTTGAGAGGCTCTGTCTGCCTTTGGGCTCATATGGGGTTGCAGAAGAAGCTCCTCCCAGCATTTGCTATTTTTCAAATGGCAACAGCTCAAAATAATCAATATGCCATGCAGCACAGGAGAAACTTCTCCATCCCATCTGGGGTCTTTTTAAGCTGGAAGGATGAGCAAATCAACACCAGACAGATTAGTAGGCGGAAAGACCAAAAGGTGGTAACACATCTATGCGGAATTTACATAGCTGTAAATTCTAAAGCATAATGGAGCTCAGCGGGGATATTTATGTTGTATTTAGGGACCTGGGGCATCGAGGAGGGGGTTTCACATTCTCTGTCTGAGAAGACATATTCCCTGGTAACCTACAACTAGGGGAGACTCACTCTCCCCCCACCCCCGGGACATTTTTCTGGGTCACAAAAGGGAGAGCAGTGGAGGTTTCTCTGACTCAGGAAAAGGTAGCAGTTTAGGACTGGAGGGTCTCTCCTTTCTGAGGGGCCTACAAAGGGCCTTGGCAAGGACAGACCCTCCCCCTCAGCCCTCAGGGATTTCATTGCTCTTAGCTCCAAATACTCTACATGCCAGAGCAGGCCCATGGAGACCACTTCTGAGACTCTTGGGGTGTCTGATTCAGGCCCCTTCATACCAAAGTGGCACATTTTGGGGAGGCTTTTTCTGCTACCCTTCAACAGTCACGTTGCTAAGCAACCATCACCCTCCACCTCCAGATCTCACTTCATCTTGCAAAACTAAAACCTTGTACCAAACAACTCCCAGCCACCTCCTCACCACCCCCAGCTGCTGCGGCTCTGCCTCAGGTCTCTAGGAGTTGAGCTATCCTAGCGCCGGTGCACGATGGTCCTCATACAATGGACTATTTTTTTAAGGTGTAAAATAAAATATAATCGTTGGGGGGGAATCATTTTCTAAAAGAGTCACAAGTTTTCTGGCAAGCTCCATCTCCCCCCACACAAGCTTTATGGGTTTTTTTTGCCTTATCATTACCCTATTAGAAATATTTAATTATAAGTTACAAAGTAAAACAGAAGCATATAATTAGTTTTGTGTTAGGCCTGATAACTTCAGGCTCAACAGTTTTGTTCTTTTAAAACCTGGTTGACATTTAGGGAAAAATAACCTTTGCAGAAGCTCATTAGAAGCGGGAACTGTCCCCAACGCTCCACCACATGATTCATATGAAACGCATGAGTCATTTCACAAATTTCAGTTTCGTCCACTGAAAAATGACTTTGCAAAGAGGTCCCTCGGGGTCTGAAAAGGGACGTTTTTATGATTTAAAATATGCGGTCAAGTCAAGTGAGGAGACAGGATTTGAGGGGTGAGGAATTCATGTTACCCCAGACAAAGAACTCGACCCACAGAATGTAGCAGGAGCCCTCCTTCCAGTGAAATGCATCTT